ATAATCCAACTCGCTACCGACTGAGCTATTCTAGAAACTAGGTATTAGGGGGGTTGGAGCTGACTCTCGGAAGCACAGGCACAGGCATCAGAATTGTCTTTACCTTGTGGAGGATTCAAACCCACGGCACCTAATCACTTAGCAGACGACAATGAAAGAGATATTCTAGCACGGGCAAGGATAGGTAATGATCGTTTTATATTGAGAGTAAACGAGGTTCACTATATACCCTTGAGGCTGACGTAGATAACAGAGGGAAAATACATTAAAACGCAGCCGTATTGCATTGGATACGTCTACATGAAGTCCTAAAAATAGAATTGTATCACTGCACGAGCATAGATCATAGAGAGTCTCACAGGTCTTGTGTGTATTTCAAATAAGTGAAAGAAATGAGTTGCCGATGATACTAAACAAAAGTACACCAAAATGGACACAGGAAACACGTCTGACCACTCTATCTCGAACTAGGCATCTGTGACACACTTCTCCATAGGCACTCCATGTTACCAAATGAACTAGAGTTGGTCCTGGAACGGCAGATTAAAAGGTGTCAGAGAATCTGAAATTAAATAGTTTGCTTAAGTTGACACTAGAAAATAAGGAAACTCATCTTTAACTATATAATTATATGTTTATTACATATATTATTCAGAACATACAACAATGTATTCAGCTAACTGTTCAATAAAGGAACTCTCAAAGATATATATTCATTTAAGGAATGAATGTGGATCTTGTTATCGTTACCGGGAAATAAACGCTGGTTTATCATGTGACAAGACAAATGACCCGGCGTGATAAAATACGCTAAAATCTTCTATTTTTTAATTGTTAAAATACCCGAAACCGTGTTGTTGCTTAATTCACCGATATCTGTCAATCAAGTTCACCGCCCCGCCCCTAACAATATAGTTCTATAAACAGACAGTCTTCTTTGGATAATAGAATTATCAAATATTTAATATTCCATTGAAATATTAACAACAATTGTAAATTTAAATAAATTGTAAAATTAGATTAGACTCTTGGTAAAAAAACTTGGGTCAATCCTTGTTTTCGTTTTCGATATATTCATACGCCTTATTGTCACGTGACAAACTACAGTTATTGGAAAATAAACGCCGGTTTGGATAACTTGT